TCTCGCCCAAAATACAAGGTGAGTGAATGATTTTACGCTTAAAAAGCTTTCAGCGTCTCGTGCGAATGTTATTAAATACTCTTTCGGCGAAATTAAGAGGTATTTGCAATCTTCCCGTTCATAATTTAAAACAACGGCGGATTTTCGATAGAGCGCGGATAACGGGGGATTAGTTTACGGAATTTCGGCGCGATGTTGACATTTTACCACTCCGACAGCGGCGACAGATGAAATCTGACAGTGACAGTCCCGCAACTGTCAAAAAATATGTTGTGAGTATTTGTTTGTCAAAACTCTCTCTCGGATTATTTTTCACTCGAGTTGCGTCTCGTCAACTAATTTAAGAGAATATTGCTTTTTCAATTTCCTCATTTTGTAGACTGTAGAAACACAGTTGCAGCCCTGCCATGGGGTATCCCCTTTGATTCTTCGCCCCGTGTAACCGTTTCTTGTAGTCAATACACAAAAAGATATTAGCGGTAATGAATGCCTATGATCTCCCCTAGAGCCCAGAGGCGGTCGCCGGGGCGTCTCTATAAATGTCCCTTCAACAAATACAAGCAAAACGTAGGAGTGCCTCGAATCAGTCGATGCCCAAACATTGACATTGGGCCGCCTCTCACGAAGAATGGGGGCTGTTTCTCGATATTCAATTTAATAACTCCACTCCGACTTAGAAATCTTCAAAGTAAACACGGAGGGTCCGACCGAACGGGAGGGATTTGGGCCCCGTAATTAACTGATAACAAAAAAGTTTTAGTGAAAATAACCGCGTTCAAGTGTTTTCCAATTACGAAAGCTCTCCGTCTATTGACGGAGGCATTCGCTCGGAAAACACCGTTTGCGTTTAAATAAATCGGTAATGAAATGCCAATTGGGTGTGCGACTTTTGCTGTTATTTACGTCGCAACGGACGATCGCCGTGGTCAGGACACCGTTAAGTTGCCCGGCTGTGGATAAAATCACACGAGATTGCCCAATAAAAGCGCAGCAAACAATGACCGCATAAGCTCCTGCTGTTTGCTTGCGTGCTGCTAGAAGGAAGCGACGCCAGCGCCTCTGGCGGCGTGATTGATGGCTCCTGACACGTGTTAACTGCCTCATCCTTGTACTCCTTATTGGCCCATTTCTCAAAAGTGCTCTTTCGGATGGAAAGTCCAAAGGGGTAAGCAAAGACGGCAACCCCCAAGTTTTTACTCACCCCAATAACAATAATAACGTAATTTATTCACCTAAAGACAAAATCAAGTGATGGGTCTTAATTAGAAACAATTTGCATGAAAGTGTAATGCTTACCTGAAACTGCGAGGGTGCGAAAACTAACCTGCAATTCCGGAATTTCCACGATTTCGTGCATTAGTCGCCACTAAGTGGCCCACTTGTGTATTGTAGAATCGGTTTTTCAACTTCACTCGTCAGCCATCACACCCGAGCCCGCTCTGGGACTCCGCAACCTAAGAAATCGCTCCCTTTAAACAAGTAAAAAGAAGAGTTGTAATTCACCGTGATCCGAACGATCAACAGCACTTTCGCTTCTGTCGATTCCCGCACATCCCTCCAAGAAACAATATTCCCGAGTTCACGTAACGAGGCTTGTCAAATCGTTCCATAAATTAGTTTGGCCGCCTTTGCGTTGCCACCAAACCGTGCTCTCGCAAATAAATTTTCAAAGGTTAAAACAGGCGGGATTGTTATTGGTGCAATTCCAGCCCGGAGCAATCGGCAATTGTAGCCGAATGACAGCAAACGTACGTAAATTCAACGTGTCTCAAACTAATTAAAGTAGTTAATTCCGTTTCCGGAACAAATGACGCCCATTATTCGTCTCCTCTTGGTCCGCAGAGGCGCCGGGAACGAGACGGTCCCTGAGGAGCAAACGCTTCCCATTAACGTTTTCTACGATGCATTTAAAAAAAAAGCGAAATAAAAAAATCGCTGTTTTCAGGTGCTGTTTGCCGGGATTTTCGCTGCGGATAATTGATCCTGGCGTTGTCATTTTGTTGGCTGGTCGTTAGAAATTCATGAGGGTGGAAGTTGACTGTGCTAATCGCTCGAAAGTGGACTGGAATTTCGTGTCGCTGTAGCTCGAAGATGAAAGAGCGCTTCTTTAATTGTTTTAATTTATGTTGAGTACGGGGCTGCGCCTTTTATCGAACGCCGATTTTTATCCGTGGATTATTAATCAATCACCTATTGAACGACTGTCGCTTGTGACACTACTTTGCCACTAATTGTCTTACGATTTAAAAATTTATAATTTAAGACAGGCCACTGCTATCACACTGCCAAACTTCCTTATCTCTTCGGAGAATTATAGGCTGCAAAGCTTAGAAACGTCGAACCTGAGCACAGAAATTCGATGTCCTATTAAAAAATCTAAAATCGACCTTTCCGTGAAAACTCGTTCAAGCAATCCGTAAATTTCCATCCTACGTATTGATAGCTCGCCCGTACATCAAATTCTCGCCGCGTGGTGCATCCGCGTAAAATCTGCAATTGCCAACGAAGAAATAAAACAACACGTGGAATTTGTTTGCTGGTTCTGATTGCCCGCTCAGTGTTTCTACTCAAAATTGCTATTGGTCTCACGCCGAGTTATTGCTCTATAAATTTTCGAGTTCCATTTTCTCTGTTTATGTGTTATTACAATATTTCCAGGTACAATTAGCTTAAATTTATAGCCAATTAAAATTTAATTCGAACAATGAAAGGTGCTGTATTCCGAATAGCACAATAGCAATTGGCTCGATGAAATCGAGTCTGCATGTAAAATAGCGCGGAACTGGCGACATGTAATCACTTGAAACTATTTACATGAGGAAATTGCGAGCTCCTGTATCCAGTGAATGCGAAACAAAACGTGTGTGTGATTTATTCATTGTTGAAATTTCAATACAACGGATCCGTCAGAAGTGGGTACGGGGACTGTCGTCATTTGCGGCTCCCGAACTGTTTAGCTAAAAGCGTTACAAGTTTAGAAACAATTCTTTCGTCCAAGAAAATTCCACCGTAGCTGTTGAAACTTTTGGTGTTGCGGGGATAACTACTAGTGTCAGTTAGGGTCAATGCCCCGAGGATTCATCCAGAAGTTTGTATCTTCGGCTATATATAGATATAGAATGGTGGAATGAATCAGCATTTAATCCGGGGATAATGTGTTCATCGAGAACAATTGAATCAGCCTTTGTTTTCGTTGACAGTATTAAGAGCTCCGAAAGTTTGTGTAGGAAATTGAAACGTGATGTTTATAAGTGGGTAAAGTAGCGATTATGGAAATCGATATTCCAGGTTGATTAATGTCGATTTGATAGCTGGTCAAACCTTGCCCAAACGCTGTCATTGCCCCGCAAGCCACAATTTGTCTGATTTTCGGCTTAATTATTAATGTGAAAAACAAGCAGTCCACTAATCCCTGGTTGACGGCGAGCAGCCTTCATAAAATCCGTCCCGAGGTTGACAGACAGTAGGAAAAACAACACTTCGGTCGAATTTCCATGCAAACGGCAGCAATAAATCGGCGAGGAGCGCGTGCCAGCGGCCCGTTAAAAAAATGAAAAATGTTTGTGTAATCCATGAATCGACTTCACACTGCAATTCCCCACACCGATTAGCGATTTTCTCGCTAAATTTATCCGATTTGTTGCGTTAATTAGCGTATAAACAATGGAAAGCCCTCGAGCGGTCAGTCAGATTTCCATTTTCAATACGCGTATGTAGCAGTAGCATGTGATTCATGCAGCCCGAAGCCGTGTGGCTGACGATTTATATCGGGGAAAGAAAACTGTTCGGTTGGCGGCAAACAATTCCGCGAAATTAATTTAGCAAATCTGCAAATCCTGCAAAGCTGAATGTAAATTAGCCCAAAGGATAAACATTTCAAACCTCTGACCCGGAACGTCAACACAAAACGTATCCTTTGCTTAACTTTGCTTGACCACTTGATCGAATACTACAATCGAAAACTCACCCCGTAGACAAATATTTAGCCCGCTGGCTGGCACAAGTGGGCACTAGAAAGCATCCCCTATTTATCTGCGACCTCGAGCCCTTCTACTTAACGTTGTGGGGCGAAATTTTTAATTAAAGGCAACAGTTACCGGCTTGTGCAGTCGTTTAAGGAATTACCGGGCGCGGGGGACCTCCTTAGACAAATTCCAAATTTAAAACTCCCAACCCTTCCTTTACGGCCAATAAAAATATACAAGTGCCGAGGTAGAGCCCACTGTATTTTTAAATAGACTTTTTCTCGCCAAAGTAGAAGCAGGTTATAAAGTTTTATGGAATAATGGCCTCTTTTCATAAATGCATTTCGAGTTTTACGAGATTTCTATAGGGGAATTCGTAATGACGGACTGCTGCATCAGCGTACGAGACGTCAAGATGTTCTATTTTACTCTGACGTGATTAAAACGTCCTACTTCATCTAGGGCACTTATTCATAGATGTTATAAATCGTCGTTACAAGAGAAACTACCCCTCGCGTCTAACGACCCTAACTTTGCAATTTTAAATGACATCGCTCCCCCCTCGTCAAGATGTTTAAACGAGTTTAAAACAAATACTCTCGTGCTAGATTACTTCAGCTGAAAACATTTCACTACTAACATCGCTAATATTTCTCCTTTCTTTTCCTTATACCGGTTTTTGATATATTCCTCCATCCCTCTTTCTCCTTTCGTCTCTCTTTCTTCCTTCTCCGTTAGGAATTTGCCCTTGTTGACAATCTTCTCAAATTAAAAATCAAACGTATGATATGATAGGGCCATCTCCTTCTGCATCAGTGATTGTCTTTCCTTTACAAATATATTTATGTAAACATGTCATTCCGCTAACACTAGACTACTTCTAAACTTGAACTAATAGATTTACTTATTATTATTATTATTATTTTTTAATTAAAATTTTTATTGTACATGTTTTTCTACTTTTTCTGGTGTTGTATGAAAATTCTATATTGTATACGCTGAACGGTTTGTCTTCATTACTTTTTTTTGTTTCAGAGGGACGCTCTAAACCTCGAACCCACCAACGTGGCCAGCTGCGTATCCAAAGGCAAATCAGAGGTATGTACATTTAATGTTAACTCTCGCCAAACACGTGTATTTCCAGAGCGATCAAACGCTTTTTCGCCGCTGGCATTTCTTAAGCTCTTGTTATTTCATGTATAACACGGCGTGTACACAGAGTCTGTGCTGCATGCGAAACTATTTACACGACTACACAAGGAACGGCTACAAATTCCCTACTTTTATGCGTCACGTTCCTTCTAAGAAATTGCATTTTAAATTATGACGGGACCTGCAAGATACTCTGACATATCCACACGTCTTGCTCTCGGACGGGATTTAACGGATCTGAATTTCTGAAATGTTTATCTCTTATTTTTCATGAATATGTAATCGAAAAATGGGGAGAAATTCGGCGGTCTTGTGCAGCGATTAACTCGTGAATTTGCTGTTCCGGTGGCAATAAAACACTAACCAGTGTCACTGTCTTGTCAGAACTGTGTGCCACATTTAAGCTAAAGACAAAGGCGTTTACTGAAATTCATCGATCGGTAAAATTGCAGGAGCAGTGGTGTTAGGATCAGCTGCGGCTGCAGATCGTGCAACCTTTTTGTCCGCTAACGTGAGTTTGCGGATTTTGACACTCCTTAGAGATCCAACCCGGAGTGAAATTAAAAACCTAAGACCTGCTACGTGAGTTGTTCAAGCTGCGGCTTTCAGTATTTCAGCGGATCTTTCGTCCCTATCAGATATAGTGTTATGGCTACTTACTTACATTTACCATTTGGCATGATTCCACGTGGAATCGCCTTCATGTAAACAAGCATATCCAATGCCTTAGCTTTACGGCGCGTTTGTCCTTTTCCATCACATATTGATCTTCTTCCATCCGAATTCGCTGATAAATATCGCCTTGTCTGCTGGAAAATTCGGCATAGCTCTTTATTAAAAGCCTCATGTTTGCTGATCGAAACCCATCACTGTCAATGAGATGAGATCGGGCGACAGAGACGGCATAAACGCACGTTGGCGCGACACATTCACTTTCAAGGGGCGTTCGTCTCTCGCTGTTGACGAGGGACCATTTACCCCTCTTCCTGCGCCAGGACCGCTTATCAGGTATCTCTCGCTCTGGCTGTATATTCACTTACTCGTCCCCGGTTCATCGCGGAAACTGCATTCAAAAGCGAAATGAAATACTGTCTGCCGTGGTTTACATTTTTGCCGATAACTACGCCGCGTTAACAATTTTTGCGGCCGTATCGTCACTAATCATTTGTGTTCGGGAGGACCGCACGGATGCGCGTTTAATTTTTTTTGTGGGACGCGCGGAAAAACGGACAATGTGGGCGCTTTCGGAGATTTTCGACCAGCAAAAAATGAAAATTGTATAGGCGATAGACGCGCACACCTCTTCCGGGTCGGTTTCGCCCGCATTCGTGCCAGAAAATCTCTGGTACGGAAATTTGACACTCCGTAATGTTGAAGGCACCAGATTGAAACTGCAACCGGTAATGAAAACAGCATTAGAGCGATAACAACGTGTTGTCACACGATTGTGCAGCGAAGATAACGCCACGATTAAGTCATTTCAACTCTAAACTTCCCATTTGACGATAGTGGACCAAATTTCACATTTCCGTGTGCTGTTAATTTATAATTATACATCTGGGGGCGTTAACGCTATTGTCTTAATGAGATTAAAGGTACAGAGCAGTCGGTTGTGACGTCACGACAAAAACGAGCCCGAGTTCAAAAATTAATATCTACATATAACAATAACTAATATAGTAGATATTTAAAGATGTATTACTGGGACAAAACTGAATCATCGTTTTGGCTGGTGACAACGTGATTCCTTCTTTGTGCGTTTGGCGGATGCGCCGGATTAATCCGTAGCCATCAAGCCAGCGACGGCGTAGCCGTCGAGACAATGCGGACGCATTAGCCTCCTTTGTCGCAAATTAAGATGATGGACTCCTCGCCGAGCCGCTAAGGACCCGTAAAAAGTGCAATCCATCATTTATTTCTTCATCACCGGTGCGTGAGTTTGTAAGCGTCAAAAGCTCGTTCTGATTGACGAATGACATGTCTTTCAACATCGAGCATGATCCAGTAGCGCGACGTATGAATAAAAACACGGGACGTCGTTTAATTCAATAGAACTTGTCACGATAACATTGACAAATGTGGTTTTGAATGGCCGCCGTATGCCTTTCCGTAATTATTAGCCGAGGAGAAACGCAATGCGATATTTAGGTCCCTCTCACCTCCACTTTCTTCGAGTAGACGTCTGCTTAATGACCTTGCTCGGCACAAATGACACAAGATCGACGTCGATTTCGTGTATTTAGCCAAATAAGGTTGGCATTACAAGTTCACGACGGTGTTTGGAGGAAATCGTTATGGATAATTATTTAGCGGGAGGTCTGCTGTCCAAATGCCCTTTTTGACGAATTGGTCCGAGAGAAGCGAAGTGAACTAACTAATCGCTAGTTCGCGTGAGTTTGGCCCAGTAAGAGCACGAGTTGTATTGGTTTTGTAGCGAAATTTGCCGTGTTTATGTTTTCAATATTCGTGGAGGGTTAATAACGCGATGCTCGAGAAGTAATGATAAAAACTCTGGCGTAATTAATTAAGCCCGTGATTGAGTCGCCGTAATAAACCGTTTTGAGGTGGTATTGCCACTTGATCGCACACATAAGACTCGACTTCAATTAGTCCTTTAATAGCGTTTACTTGTTCCTGCTTATTTGACTTTCACTTTCGCTCTCTAATAAGATAACTTATTTTAAGAATCCTTTTATTAAAGCGAAAGTGGCTCTCCTTGTTTTTGTCGTTACAATTAAGGAGATGGAATCCGTGAATATCTCTTTATATTTAATTATGACTTTCGGAATTAATTTCCCCAGTTTACCAAGTCCAAATCCTTAATAATAAAATAACGTATCTGTTACAGACGAAAACTTAATTAAATAAATTTGCATCTCAATTTCGGACCAAAATATTATTATTTGCTAATTGAAGTCTCAATCAGCCGCCGACATGAAATTGAAATTAATTTTGACTCCGTTCTTCTGACCTCATTTGTAATTCAAATGTTGCCCCAAGAGAGAATGCGATAGAACAATGCATTTCTGCGATGAGCAACCATGTGTTTTCGAGCGGATCTCGCCGGAATGTTCCATTTGCAGGAAAGAGAGCCAGCGGACACGAGGAAACGGGATAAAACACGAACCATACACCATGTAAATCACCAAAATACGACAGCATTTATCCCTCCAGTAATATCCAGAACTAAATCAGCGAATTTCCTAGAATTATGACGTACAACAGTGTTTTTAATAACGACTTACTTTGTTACAAATTTGTAGCAGGAACTGACGCTCCGTTATAACCCCGGTTGTCGTGGAGGAACAAAGAAATTTATTTTGCAGCATTTGTGGCGATTCGCCTTTTCAATTGCAACTAACACTGCTCACAAATTAACATCAACATGAACACGAATAGTGAACTAATTAATCTAGTGCATTTCGCACAGCAAGAATATATCAACAAAAACTAAAGTCATTCTGTACACTTAGTTTCACGCCGGAAAAAGCTTACTTATGGTAGCATTTACAAGCATGCCGGCTAGTTTCATTAGTGGCTATTTCAATTATTTCCGCAGAAATGCGCTTTGAGCGTTGTGTTTGTCCCGTGGAAGTTGTAGCAATTTGCTATTCGCTTAGATTGCAGTTTAAATTGCAGCTAATGGATTGCAGTGCAATGTGCATATGTTACAGAAGAGCTCTGCTTAAAACGTGTCATGCAAATTTATCCCATAATAAGGTTGTGTTGGCGCACTGAACACCGACGACTCCTTTTAGTCCTGATGTCGAGTGGATTTGTTTCTACCTGAATTGCACGGCTTACACTAGACGTAATCTGGAACTGCTTGCAATTCAACTGCTTTATATTGCCACTCATGGCAAAGAAGCGGAAGATATCTGATTTTAGCAAACATCGAATAATGCTATTGCTCTCTGAAATGGGTGTAGTAGTTCTCGCGAACCATTCCCTTATCTTGAACTAGAAGTCGTTGAAGTTTTCTTTGAGTTTCTAGTCTGATATTTCGGCTGCAAAGTCGAAAAAAGGCGAAATTCACCTAAATATAGTCCATGTTGGGGATAAATGCATATTGGGTTGCTAGGCAAACTCATCCTCCAGCTGAATCCCCTTGTATCTCGGTTCTAACCGTTGTCTAACTGTCTACCTTATTCAATTGATGTAAGAAACCTGACGACCTGACAGGGAACCGAATAAGAACTTTGTTCAATAACGCAAACAGAAAAAAGCACTACATCGTTGATATAAATTTAAGATTTTGCTTTTTTTTCTCCGTGCCAAGCATCCTGTAATGAGTTTCCACCGGTGGAAGGCAACCGCTTCAACAAATTTATTTAATATTTGTTTTCAACTACACTTCAAAGACAACTTTTGAGAATGTTTCAGACTCGGTGTGCGACCTTAATAAATAAGAAAGCGAAGCTTGTTTTAAATCTATTAAAAAACGACTCTGTCACTAATCACTAATTAAAACTGTCAAGTCACACGATACGGTCTCAGAATATGTCGCCACTTACGCCGTCGCCAATTCTACCGCGAAAATGAAATTAAAAATTCAACCCCTCTGTGTAGAACCTGTGCGATAATGAATGATTTTGGAGTTCCTCGCCCCAAAAATAAAATAAAGGTTCCGCTGCGTTAAAACTTGGGCCCATTTCAATATATCAAACCGACGATAAAGCTGAACATTTATTTAAAATCTTCTTGCGTTTAAAATCTGTCCAGGTTTATCATCCCCAAATTGCTGCTATATTCTCCAAATTGCGCTGTATATTACAATAACGGACTCATACAGGACACGCTCTACACGGAACGTTTTCATCTTTGGCAGTGCGTGAAGTAGGCATCTCGCAATATTTGAAACTGGCGAATTTTCATTTTGTCCCGGCGCATCCGCCATTTTTTTATTTCATTATTATTTTCCGACCAGGTAACCTACGAAATTCGTT